AAGAGGGATTTCCAAATGGTTGACTCAAAAGTGTATGGGGAACTAGGATATAAGCGGAAAGAAAATGAAACAGTAACCGGGATCTGGGATGCTCGTGCTTTCGTGGCATGGGTCCATTGTCGGTATTTGCTGCGAATTCCAAGATATTCAGCTGCTTACTGACCTCCTTCATTTTTTAGCCCAGACAGTCAATCTAATTATTGCCATGCTGTCCTGGTAGGTTCGTCAGAATTGGAGAGTCATTCCATATTAACCTTTGGACCTATCCCCTGTCTGAGTACGCTTTCATCGATCTTCGATTCATGACTTGATGATGAGTGACCGATCTGATAAGATTTCACAGTTTACGTTGAGAACGCCAGAGTGAATGATTCCCCGTTGCTATTTACTTTCACCAAGGTCGACTCTCCAAACAGCTTCATGTCAATAAATAACAAACTTGGTCTCACAACTCAAAATTTATCATCTTGGATTAGATCGATGAATCTAACCCCAACGAGGCTAGAGTCAGGTACCCGATTCCAGTGTCCAATGAAGGCGTCAGCAGTTAGATTAAAAGAGGGCGCCTCGGCTCTTAATGGCACATACTTTGCAGTGTGGTTGCGTGGAGGCAGCGGGGAAGACAGAGGCTTCATTGGCATGACTAGGCTTTAATCATACTAGCCAGAAGAAATAGGGCTTGAGGGCTTGGGTTTTTTGTCCTATGGGCTAGGCGATCAATGCTCGTTCGGGAGTTGAGTTTTGGAAACCGTTGGACTTTGCTGGTAGTGGAAGCTGGGAGAGAGACCAGGACATGCCAGAACTAAGCTTGTGACAGTACCTAGCTAAGGTGGTGAAGGTCTCCTAATAGCATCCCTTTGTGTGTATGGCTCTGGTAAAACACTCTCTGGAGGGGCACAGCCAAACAATGCTAGCATTTACTTGTGTCTGCCAACATACTATTGAGACAATGCGAGAATCGAAAACTCATCCAGACATCCATCTTGCCTACACAAAACCAGCTGTTTACCCACTTAGACCGTCTTCTCCACCAGTCACTCCATCAATAGGTCCAGGGCGGAGGGCCTTAGATTCGGAGATAATACTTGGAGTAAATAAGAAGCGAAAAGAAGAAATGGCTTACAAGGTCTGGCTGGCTCCATGACTTGCATAAGAGAATTCAGCCACCTTAGCCAACCTGCGAGCCTCTTCCTCATAATCTCAAATCTCACACAGCCTTCGGGCATCGAATCGCGAAGGGGAAGGGTTCCTTGTCAAGCTGTCCCCCCTCCTTCAGGTAAACCTGACCAACGAACGTCCAAACAGGGCTTGAAGAAGAAAGGTTGCGATGCGATGCTATTCTTGCGGGTGCGCCGTGTCTGAGGGTCGCCAGCTTGTAAGAGAGTTGACGGGGGCTGAGGGGTATGTATAAGGCATCCCTGTCTAGGGCCGGCCTTTTGCTAACGACACGCAACATAGCCTATGACCAGTCAGTAAGGTGAATCCACTAAGAGGATCGTTCCCGGCTTGCTTTTTCACCAAGTCTCCATCGTGTGAGTGAATGCATTGCTTCTTCTTAGCGGTGTCCTGTGCTGCTGGCCTGCGCTCTCTTCGACTCAGACGGGTCTGCCACACCAGATCAGCCAACGTTGGCATCCACAAGTTCGTTTTACTTTAACTTTTACTTTTATCCTTGGCCTCTGCTCGTTTCTTTTCATTACTTCTTTCCCACCTTCAGGGCTTCACCCGCTTGTTTCAATATCGTCCATCCTTGACTTATACCGAAGCCTCGTGATTGTTGCTTCCATACTCAGGCTAATTATTGCAAAACAAGACAGACTGCAATATTTTATCTAGAGTAGTACACTCTTTCGGACCCGGTTTTATATCACCTACATTCTTTCACCAACCCGTGGTGTTGGTTCGGTTTACTGGCTTGTGTCGATTCATACCGAGCAAGCCTGGATATCAGGAACGAAATATCCCATAACTAACAAGCACTTGCCGAACGACTTGGACACTTCTATCTCCGGCTGGCAAATTGGTGCCATTCAATATATACTGCCGTCTGTTATCGTTTATCAACAACCATATCATATTCGCACTGCCGAGCCAAGGTCGAGGAAGCATAGCCAATCCAGATTATGCAGTACCACTCAACGTTGCGAGCATTACGAGAAACAAGATTAACTTGCAACGATCTACGGGAACCAAAGAACGCTTAGTTCGAGGTTAGCCACCTACCAGCTGTCGTATTGGGGCTTTGCAACTACGCAACATCGTCTTCACCAACTTTCAGAAACAATGCGCCGCACCCTATCAATCGTTTTGGGCTCTTTGGCCCTACTGGTCACAGTGGCCGTGATAGCAGTTCTTATTGTTCTCACAATTCATACACCCAAAGAATCAAGTGGCCGAACGCTCTCGCAAGTCTCTGTTGCCCTCGAGGTTGTGACTCTTGTCATCCTCTGCTGGTTCGCCTCCACATATATTTCAACTTCCTTCCGGCGATGGTCAACACGATGTCTGGGTGTTGACTTCGGTGCTTGTCTTTTGTCAATACTATTTGCTACTGTTGCAACAGTGGCTACTCTCATTCAATTCAGCAAGTCTAAATTCGAAAATGAGGATGGGTTCACAGGCTCGAGTAAGAGCAGTCTTCTCGTTGGTCTGTCCGCTAGTCTTGGGGTGTGCTTCTTCCTTCAAACCGGCTTCCTATCTGTTCATTTCTTCCTTACGCGGCAAAGCGATCAGAAGGCACATTCACTCCACACTCTAGAGGAGGACCGAGGCTTGCCATCATTCCGGTCCAAGACGTCTCTGAAGTCGATCCCCTATAGTCACACAGCTTCAGATCATGACACAGCCCCCAGGATGATGAACTCGATGGACTCTCAAACGCCCACCCCATCCATACGTGGACGTTCCAGGTCCGGCACTTCAACTTCAATCAAGATTCAACTTTCAAATGCCATTCGGTCTGCGACTGTCAGAAGTCACGTGTCGTCAAGTGAGTTTCGACGACCTATATCGACCGACTCGACAATATATCAGTCGAGTGAAGATGTTTTTGACACCTGGGATACATCATCTGTTGATACAAACAACCGCCAAGTGGTTATGGAAGCTGCAACTCCTACTCAGCAAACCCAAGGTCATTTTCTTGAGACAATTCCTGGTAGCCCTTCGCCAAGCAGAACGTCTACACCCAACAATGATATGCCTCTCGAGCCGCCGAGGATCCGTATGCGAAGCCGAAGCTTCAGTCCGGTAACTATAACACGTGAGCAAATGAGCCCTCAAACGTCGACGACCGATCTTCCTGAGCCGTCCCTGAGTGAATCTCATATCCATCCGCTCTTCCGATCCGACTCGCCTACGCCGCCCCCGATGGCTACACCTGGCACGGTTGTCTTGGCCTCGCCCAATGCTGGACAAGTCATCACACACCGCCAGAGTGTACGGTCTCTGCGGTCTGCCTCCATAACAGTGGGCCCAAGCCCTCTCAGCCATCGGGATGAGCAGGAGAGCATTAGAGAGGAGCAGGAGTCCGAGACAGACTCCCTAGCGACAATTGACCGGCCGCTCACCCCTCCCATCCCTGAGTGGGTGATGGGTGCCGGCGCTCGATCAAGTTGGTCGGACTACAACCACCGCAAGTCAAAAATCAACAATGAAGATGAAGGAGAAAATAAGAAGCAGGAGAAGAACTAACGATGTCACTCTGGCTGAGTGACAGTATAATGAGAAAATGAGCAGGGGCATGTGAAAACAGCGGGCACTATGATATGGACAGACTCCATTTCTTATCTTTTTTATCCTTCCAGACGCCACCGGATGGTAAACTCCAGAGTTCCGTACAGACCTGGTGGAACGAACTGATTAGGATTATTTGTATACCAATGAAAATAGCGAGGCGCTTTTATGACTTGACCTTCTGCGCTAGAGGCGCGAGGATGGACGACAGAGATGCATTGTAAGGTAGAACAAAGCTGGAAAGCTTAGAAGCAATATCAAACACTTTTTTTTTTAAATAAAAAAAATAAAAAACCTGAAGATATTCATCTTGGATAATGTTGAAAAATCCTTCCATGCAGGCCTCGGAGTCAAGATGAAGAGACAGGGCTCTCATAAAGGCTACATGCTTTGTTCTTTAAGCCTTGTAAAGCATAACAGGTTTTTACATCTCGAATCACTGGAATGTAGTGCAAGACTGTCTCAAAGAAAAACCCCGGTGTTCCTCCACGTGGCGAGGTTATTTGTGTGGGAGATCTAATAGAATTCTCCTGTTACGTGTTACAAGTTTCCATCACTGGTTCGGTTCCTGGGAAAGCTTCTCCTATAGCAAGGCCTAGACATTAAGTTCGACAACATCAATACCCAGAGCATGCATGATAGGTGCATTTCAGGGATGGCCATGTTATTAACTCTCATCGACAGAAGGGAGTTCAACTTAATTTCAGAATGAAGAACTCTATATGTGTTTTTGTGTACGGGTGTTCCCAGCAGAAACACTCTGCTTCTGTGCCTACCTACCTAGGTAGGTAGGTAGTACGGACTCTCTCTTTCGCTCACAGTCTACTGATCAATACAGCCCTGGAGCCTCTGATAAAATGCTCTCATTCTCAGGCAGCAGGACGCGCGCCTTCTAGCCATTTGGTAGCCTCCAGTGGCTGACAAAGGTACACTAGACTATTTTTGGTGGTGGCTGGCTTGAAAGTAACCCTTCCAACTCACAGACTCATGCCCCACCTTTTCCCTCAGCCAAACGTCAACTTCGTCCAGGCTGTAAACCACTAAGCTTTCCTCCAACACACTTCTATATCTACGTCGACGATTTTATTTTCTTCTACCCGACCTCTCTCCCGCATATTCTCCCCCTCGTCAACAAATCCTCGATCTTGACTCATCGACTGGACTCTACTACCGCACCTGTACCGAGCGAGACGACTTTATCTAAATCCCAGGTCGCACTTTGCCTCCCACCTCCCCACCTCAAAGTGACAGAGTCTTCGCCCATCATGAAGGTCACCTTCAAGGTACGTCACGATTCATGCGCCGCTGAATCTGCATCAATGAGCTTGATTTCTTGTGCTTGATTTCATTCTCTCGGAGGTTGACTAAACGTGTTTCAGGATCTCAAGCAACAAAAGTTTACACTCGACGTCGAGCCTTCTGAGCTGGTATGCCTGCCCCGCGTTGGCGCTTGTAGCTGTATGCGCAAATCATTCAGCCAGCTGATACATTCGATAGATTTCTGCCGTCAAAGAAAAGATTTCAGCTGAGAAAGGATGGGAGCCCAAGCTGCAGAAGCTGATCTACTCTGGTACTTACTTACCTCTTCTGTCACACTACATGGTCGCTGACGTTATGCCAAGGCAAGATTCTAAAGGATGAAGAGACTGTTGGCTCCTACAACATTGAGGAGAAGGGCTTTGTGGTCTGTATGGTGAACAAGGTATGGAATAATGACTCCTTGATAGGAGCTTACATACTGACAGCTCGCAATAGCCTAAGCCCAAGCCCGAACCCAAGGCGGCCGAATCCAGTGCTCCTCCTGCCACACCCGCCCAAGCCTGCGGCCCCTGCGGCCCCTGCGCAATCTTCATCTCATCAGGCTGCTGTCCCCGCGACACCTACTCCTCAGCGCTCTGTGGATGCTGGAACTGGTGCTCAAGCTGAGGAGCCTTCCGGCCTTGCTATGGGATCCCAGCGCACCGAGGCGATCGCAAACATGGAGGCCATGGGCTTTGAAAGAAGCCAGATCGAAGCGGCCATGCGCGCTGCCTTTAACAACCCTGACCGTGCTGTCGAGTATCTACTTAATGTAGGTCTTGAATTTTCCAGGCTGTCGTGAGCGACGATTGCTTACTTGGTTTATATTAGGGCATTCCCGACAATATCCGACAAGAGCAGCAGCAGCGTGAGGCTGCTCCTGCGGCTCCTGCTTCACAACCAGCTCAACCCGCCGCTCCCGCCCAAGGTGCATCTGATGAGGGTGGCGTGAATTTGTTCGATCTTGCTGCTCAACGTGGAGGCTCTGGTGGCCGAGGAGGAAATGGAGGGAACCAGGCGGCGGCAGCCGTAGCCGCTGCCGCTGCAGCTGGGCAAGGTGGTGATTTGGGCAACCTCGACTTTCTGCGACACAATGCTCAATTCCAGCAACTCCGCCAGGTTGTTCAGCAACAACCGCAGATGCTTGAGCCAATTCTTCAGCAGCTTGGAGCCGGCAATCCTCAACTGGCCGAGTTGATTGCTACGAATCCAGACCAATTTCTTCAACTTCTCGGTGAATATGCCGATGACGACACCCCCCTACCCCCTGGGGCTCAGGCCATTTCGGTCACTGAGGAGGAACGAGATGCTATCGAGAGGGTGAGGTTTTTCATTTCGATGCGGCCCTGAGCTAAATCACTGACATATATTAGCTGTGCCGCCTAGGATTCGATAGAGATCAGGCCATTCAGGCCTATTTTGCCTGCGACAAGAACGAAGAACTCGCTGCTAACTTCCTCTTTGACCAACCGGAGGATGACGAGCCTGCCCCCAACAACAACTAAGGGAAGATGAGCTGTGCAGAACAATACGCGTTACGATGATGAACCGAAGGAAAGGGCACAACCAGGCATTCTCTGTGGAATAACCATCTGGCGACGGCGACGGATCAGGGATAGGACAACAGAAGAGGATCATGAAAAGAATGCAGCCATTGGTCCCAGCTAATAGAGCAGGCATAAGTGGTGGTTTTGATCTTAGAAAGTCCCTATTCTATATTTACATTGTGAAAGTCAGCACCTGATTCAAGGTGGGTAGGTAACTGGGGGTTGTTCAGCTACCTCTTTTCTTACCCTATCATGTTATAGTGACGGCCTATGAAGCTACCTTGAGAGTAGTATTATGGGATGTCAAAGTCAGAGAGAATACGGATTATGCTGAATCTCACTGCTGTTCATAGGATAATAAATTCAAGCTTCATAGCCTGAACGCCAGAATAATTCGAGCCTCTGCATCGGGAGGGAGGGGGGGATAAATGGCCCGGTACTCAAAGAGTATCCTAAGTTTGTTCTAAACCTGACATTATTTTAAGCATTCACATCTTTCCAAAACCCAAACCGCAAGTGCATGCTGTTTCCGAAATGCCACAGCTCACCCCCAAGCACTAGGAACCCTCATGTCTTTTTAGTCATACGAGAAGATTCTTTCTCCTTCTTCTTTTTAGTTTCCGTGCTTTTCCGGCTTTTGAGTTTGCTTTCTAGGCTGCCCTTGTACAAAGACAGTCACGAGACTCACAGGCCTTGTACGATCCATGGCCAGGAGTATCTGGCTCCCTAGTATTCCATCAAACATAACGGTACCCCTGATCCCGCTAGTCTAGCACTTACACATCATGCCGGGAGAGTCCTGCTGAGATTTCTTATATTCAGTCACTGATCATCCGTTAGAAGCCTGCTAATTACTCCGTCGTTTTTAAACCCCCCAAGTCTGTAAACAATTGTCACCACTCTGAGTGACCCTCCTACCCCTATGTTTGGATCGCTAACTTGACTTGACACAGGCCACGGTCTCATGTTTACGCCCGTTCGATGGCACGAAGCTATAATTTGTTGAGACGAGAGCCAGGCGTCACTTATCATGATGATATATGTTATTAAGCAGGTTTAAGATCCCACATTGTGTACCTTGCCCTAGGAGAATCATTATTCTGTAGAGACTGCTCTCGAAGCTAATTCCGTGTAACCCTTTCTTTCATTCGTGAGCAAATAAAAAACCCTATGGGTATCATGCCTGTCCCCGGTACGCCGCCCGAATCATGTCTCCGATTTTGGACGTACTCTTGATCCTGATTTCGGCCTGATTTGTGTCCTCTCCCGGCTCAAGCCTCTTGAGCAATGGGTTCACCGTTTAGCCCGTAGGCTACTGCCTGCTTCTTTTTCCTCTTCTTTTTCTTCGCGTCACCTTCGTCGTCGTCCTTGAACAGCTCCTCGCGTCTCTTGCGCATGATCTCGGCCTGTTCGTCCGCTCGACGTTTCTCCTCGGCCTCATATTCTTCCTGGATCTTGCGTTGTTCCGCCTCGATATCTGCGACTGGCTCAAACTCGCTACCGGTGAAAGCCTTGTACTCTTCAAGATCGATCTTTACCGTCTTTTCGCCAATGAGAGCAGCGTTGACGCGTTGTGGACAGTGACGCTCCTCCCGATTAAATTTGAGTTTGACATGACGCCGCTGCTTGCCCGGGAACATTTTGGAAATCATCTCAAAGTCTGTACCGAGCATACGCAGCCCGCGATAGAAGAGCTCTGTCTCTGCGTCGGTCCAGATATTGGGACCCTTAAGTTTGGAGGTGTTCATGAACGAATTGCTGGTGATGAGGCGTGTGAAGTCGTTTTCTTCGACTGTTTCCATATCTCCGGCTGCAGCGGCTGCTCGAGCATGTCTGTCGACAGCCAATGAGCTTTGGTCGATCACGATCTGCCCATCAACAATACGGAACTGAGGTCCTGAAGGTGCGACCGGAGCTGAAACCGAAGGAGCTGGCGAGGATGCAGCGGGGCTCCCAACCTTCCCTCCTTGGCCACCGTCTTCGGGGGTTGCTGAGCTGTCACGTTCGCCGTCAACTCCGAGTTTGGTCTTCATTCTTGCCCGCCTCTCTCGTTCTCGTAGCTCATCATGCCTGCTGAATTTCTTTCCAATGTGAAGATCCTTGGTTAAATCAGCCATCTTAAGCTTCTGTAAGTCCACCAGTTGAGATTCCGAATCTTCTGGCGTAAGCGAGCGCGCCCTTCTGTTTGTGGGTGTACTTGTACCGCTCTGGGTAGTCCTGCGTTTTCTGGGCTGTCTGGATGCCGCGCTTTGATCATCGGTTTTCCTCTGACGCTTCTTCGGTTTCGAGCCTTCACCTTTCTCAACCTCATCCTGAGTTACCTGGTTAACCTGCTTCCTGGTTCGTGGCCTACGCGTTGATTTGGGTACATTCTGCGGTTCTCTTGAGGTCTCTTCGGGTGTATCATTCAAATCAGTAGCGGGGAGAGATGGTGTATTTGAAAGATTAGTTCCACTTGGGCCTTCCGAGTCATCTGGAGTTGGTGTTTGCAGAACAGGAGACGGAGCATTATCGGTACTACTTGAGTCAATCTCACTACAGTGCGCAGAAGGCTGTTGACTTTGTTCTCGGTCGCTCGAGGTTGTCGCTTGGGCAGCCGTGGTAGGCACACTGATTGTTTCGGGGTTGCGCTCGGAATTTTGGTTCGCATGTTCACTTTGCGTTTCTTCTGGAGACTTTTCTTGGGCAGACCCTTCAGTTGCAGCATGTTCGTCCGGCTTTGCAGGCTCCTGGATTGTCGATGGTGGGGTAGAAGATTGGCGACCAAGTTCCCGAGATTCTTGAATTTGCGATTCAATCGGTGGGCCCACGGGGTCCTTCGCCGATGGTGTTTCTAAAAATTGATGGGACACATCCTGAGCTTCTGAATCCCTTGAGTTGTGCGAAAGAGAAGCAGTTGGTGGTGCTTTGGGAGGTTGAGAGGGTACTGGTGCCGCGGGGCGTCGAGCGGCGGGGATCTTGGGTTTGAAGGCAGGCCCTCCTTTCTTTTTGAAAATGGAGCTCATTGCGCAAGCGTTTAATCATGCATGTATGGTATGCGATATCCGATATGTTATCTGTGTTGACATTTCCGAACAAATTGCGACAAGAGAACGATTCAGAAACTAAAAAGTACTCGTACCAAGCAACCCAGAAAAATGGAAGGCAGAGAAAATAAAATGCGGGATGGTGGAGATCCAGTGGGCGAGAATTATCCGCCCATGCAAATCGATAAGAAGGGCTCCACTTTCCGAACGAAGCTAGACTGATACTAATCCCCTTCGAGGTGGAGACGCCGCGCTTGCTTCTTGCTCTGCGACTCACTCAACTTCGAAATTTCAAACTCCTTACCCGAAGAAACGTTCCATCATCATAACACGCTTCCCCGCGCTATCACTTGATGATCGCTCGCACGTCTTTGCTCGCCACGGGAATTGGCTTGAAAGCGCTCGCACGACTGACCCGTCGCTTTTCTTTGGGAACGCGTCCGCCTTTTTACCCTATGCCACGCGACTTCTGATGCCTCTCACAACCACGCCCTCTGCCTCCCCTCGCCCATCCACAGTCTCAAAGATGGAGGATAGGAAACGGCCTGCCATTAGCAGTGCCGATGATATAGCCCCTCCGAGCAAGCGAGTTGCCGTCAATGGCTCCAAGGCTAAAGATGACTCTTCCGACATGAAGGAGGAGAGTTGGATCGAGGTAAGTCACACGACGACATCTCCTATTGCCAACGCTTGAGTATCGACCATATGTTCCCCCCGCACTCTGCCTATCATGCAGACTTCTATTTCCGGCTTCGTGCCATTCTGTTGGGCTGGTCCTGGACGGCATTGCTCACCAAGCCAGTGATGATGCTCGCCTGCTTCTTGCGACAACGCAATAGTCGGCTCGGAAGTGCATTCGTCATGCACCCAAATGAGAAGCGCCTCCGCACAACCCAAGCAAACATCACGCAACTTGCTCGACTTTTGGAGGTGGAAATGTCGCTGACCCAATCATCAGTCATACACAAAGGGCGCCATATACCGGCAGATGCAAGAATATAGCCGAAAGGCTTCTACGTACGAGTCGCGCCTCGAGGAACTTCACAAAAGATCTGTCCATCACGACGACCACTTGAGACTTATCGATGCTTGGTGGCGACAGGTTTGTCCTACCCTTCTTACAGTCCCCACTATCTGTGGTATAGCTAAACAAAGAAACAGGTGCTTGAGGAAATGGAGCTTCTTTCAGACTCGGAGATCACCTCTACAACACCATCCGGTATGAGGTCCTTTGTTCTATATTGTCAGCCGTGCTTTTTCTAAACCTATTCGCAGATCCTCCGTATCTGAGTGGCGTGACTTTCAAGGATCTTCATGAATTCCAGAAACATTTATCCGACAAAGGCAAGACGATTAAATCTAGAGCTGAAGCACTCCTCGGACGATTGGCCTCTTCGCGAGGCAAGATTGACCCAGACGCTGCTGCGCTGGAGAATAAGGTTGCAACTCTGCTGGCAACTCAAAAGGAATACTTGTTCAAATTGGACCGTTTGAAGAGTGAAAAAGACCAGCTCTCTGAACAACTGAATGCTGCGACTTTGCGGTACTTCAAAGCGGAGAAGAAACTAGACCGTGCCAAAAGCTATCAGGTGCAGAAGCTCGAGCAACAAGCATTTGCTAATGCCACCCGCCCTTCTGCGTCTGGCGATGGGGGTGCTGAGGCCGGCGAAACAAACGGCAATGCGGGTGAACTCTTGCTCAAGTACGAAGAGGCAACTGCAGCTGCTACCAAGCAAAAGGAACAACTCGATGTCATCCTGGCTGAAATTAAGACCCTTCAGGACGAGAACTCGACTCTTAAAGCGAAGAGGGAGAGCTTAACCGATGAAGACTTCATTCGGACCGACGTTTTCAAACAATTCAAAAACCAGAACGAGGATCTCATCAAACGTATCAACACCCTTGAAGCTACAAACAAACAGCTGCGAGAAG